AATTTGAATTATGGTTTTTGGCTTTGTATAATAACATTGTTTTATAATAGAGACCTTAATGATAATGATATATAATATTTAAAAATTGTGTGCATTCAATCAGTTGCTTGGCACAGCTGAATTTCTCATTTGTTTGCCATTTATAATTTCAACCCAAACCACATAGCTTTCTATAAGTCCAGAAACAAGTCCTGAATTTTATCTCCTATTTGCAAAGGAAGGTGTTTGAAAATCATGTAACTCTTTTATTATAATTATTCCAATCCATGAGACTATTTATGAGCAGGAAACATAGAGTAGTTAAAACAAATCAATTTAGTATGAATTAGCAGGCTTGAATTCTGAAGGCAGCTCTGAAACTTACTAGCTGGGTGACTTGGCGTCTTTGACCTCTGTTTGCCTCCTCCGTGACCTATGGGAGAAGTGCAGTGTTGTTGTTGCTGCAGTTCCTTCATGTTTGTCAAGCCATTGTACAAATATTAGGTAATAAAGAGAAAATGGGTGAATAAAGGGTTACTTACATTAGAAGTAACCATTTATAATACAAATGAGAAAATAAGGGATATGGTTTCATGTAAATAACAGAGGATAATATCCATATTTATTTTCAGAAAAGTATTAGGTCAAAGTAGATATTATTGATACTTGGAAGGAAGGGTTATTTCTAAAAATATCATTTCTATCATGTGAAGAATCAAAATAAATATTTAAAAAGTAATTTGGGAGGTGGGGAGTGCCTTCTTCTAGCAATCTTGTGGCAGCAGTTTTCAATTGCCAAATAAGTATTTACCGGAAAGTTTTCAAATTTCTAATCAATGCATTAGAAACTATTTAAAATCTCTACCTAGGTTATCTAGGCTTAGATTTTCATGATTTGCATATCAGAATATTGCAACAAAATATATACATACATACCTGTTTATGAATATTTAATATTATTTTCCTAAAAATTCTTACTCTAAATTCTTTCCTTTTCAGTCATAAGAATAAGAATCACTTCCGTGACGTCAAACCCCGTCTCTACTAAAAAATACAAAAAACTAGGCGGGCGAGGTGGTGGGCGCCTGTAGTCCCAGCTACTCGGGAGGCTGAGGCAGGAGAATGGCGTAAACCCGGGAGGCGGAGCTTGCAGTGAGCTGAGATCCGGCCACTGCACTCCAGCCTGGGCGACAGAGTGAGACTCCGTCTCAAAAAAAAAAAAAAAAAGAATCATTTCCATGATTAAACTGATAAATAAGGAAATCATTCTTTGACATTATTTTTCGGAGAGGGCATGCCTACTTCAACTTCACATATTCATCTGTGATTGTTTTTGAGTCTGGAGTGATTCCTGTCACTTTCTGCCACAGACAGTGGAGGAAATTCTCCACTCCCATAAGAGTTAGTTCCTCCACCTATGCTTACCCATTGCCTGTTCAACAAACTCTGATTCTCTGCTCCAGTACCTTCAACTTCTTCTGTATTACTAGAAGCAAAATATTTAAACATGCTCAAATTTTTCATCTAAAAACAAATAAAAACTTTTTAAAAAAATTTTACCTCTCCCTTTAGCTACCACTCCCTTCATGTACAAATTTTCCTAAAGCCTTATCTTCAATTGCGGTCATTTTCTTTTCTCCTTCTCACCGCTCTATTCTCTTCCACTTCTGTCTTGCCAAATCTTGCTAAGATCATCAATAACTATTATCATGCTAAATCCAAAAGGTATTTTTTAGTCATTGTCTTATTTCATCCTTAGTTGCATTCAGCTGTGTGGATGACTTTCCAACCCTCACCCCATTTTTTGGTTGTTTTTGAAGGACTATCTTCCCTCTGCTTTTCACTTGGAAATGAACTGTCTTGTTCATCACTTCATCCCTAACACACTTTTTAAAGTGCTTTGCTAATAGCATGTGCTGAATAAATTTGGTTGTGAAGAGCTATAGCCAAATGAATACAATGTGAAATCCAATGCCATAAAGGCTACAAAATATCTACAAGGTGACAGTGTATAAGGCTTCATAGAAAAGATACAGTTTCATAGACAAGGTAGTATTTGAGCTGGGCTTTAAAGGATGCATACGATTTTGCCCAACAGAGATGTTGGACAGTGGGAAGATTGCCAAGGATATATTTAAAGCTGTGGTGTCTTATGTTCCTCTTTGGGCTTGAGTTTGGATGCAACACAAGGGATACAAAAGGAAAATAGTGACTATAAAGGTAAGTTGGGTTCAAATAATAAGAAGACTTTGAATCTTATGCTAAGTGGTTTGTCCTAACTCCACAGGACTTGTGGAGTCATTAAAATTTTTTGTTTGTCATGGGAAAGTAGGGTGATGACTAGGGCTGTGCCTTGGATTAATTAATTATTATGATGTCACTATGAGGCTGATTGATTTATAAACTGTATGGCTATAAGAAGGAAGATAGATTACTAATGTAATCATGAAGTAAGAGTTCAGGAAAGTTAGGCCTGACGTGGTAACACCAGGGTACAGATATAAGCAGAAATCTGAAGATGGATTCGATGGGGTTTGATGTCTTCCTAGAGTGCTAAGGGATCAATTTCAACCTTGAATAATGGAAATAAAGGCCATGCAATTCACAGATACAGGAAATCACAAAAAGCAGTTTGTTTTTATTGATTTATTCTTTTTTAAAAATGTTTGGTCAGAGAGCATGAGTTGTTTTGAGAGTCTTTATATTTGAGTTACCAATATTGATATATTGAGGAAGTATTCCACATTGGAGATTCTGGGACCTGGCATGGGAGTTGACGATACAGCCCTATGAATTTAAACTTGATGCTGAAAGTTGCCTCCTTAGTGGAAGAAGAGCGATGTAGACTGAGGGGATAGCCTGCAAGATGAGGGTGCTGAATGCCATGTAGAATTTTGAAGATCACGTGGAATAGTGGAAATAAAAGAAACTCTCAAGTTTGAGTTATAGCTTTGCTGCTTTACAAACTGTATGGTCTTGAAGTTGTGTTTGGTTTGTTTATTCATTTATTTATCTTTAATATCTGCCCAGGGCCCTCCTGAGTGGTCTGCAAACAGTAAGCACTAAATGCAGGCTTTATTGGCTCACTAGAATATATTCATTTCTACATTATGGATTTTTTTTGAAGTATCAAAAGTTGTTTGTGTACTCATTCATTTACTCATTTATTCATTCATGTATTCTTACTGAGTCTTACTCTGCGACAGGCACCCTCATTATACTGCCTGACTTCTTCTCCATCTCATTTCTTGGCTAGTATTTTCATTGGTTCAATTTGGTGATATTGTTCTCAGTTATAGGAAAAAGATTGATTTAGATCTCATCCATCTATAGAGTCATGCCATTTACATCTCAGACTACATTTCCTCCTCCTCAGGTTGGTTGAGATAGCTCCAAAAGGAAGTGATAGCGAATGTTGCCTTTACTTTTACAATAACACAAAAGAATCTTTCTGCTGATTTCATTTAGATGCTTATAGTAAAATATTTAACTCACAAATGATTTAAATCATCCTCTTTAACAGTAGTTAAACACACTGATGTTACAGAGATCTGCCAAACAGAACTATTATCATATGACTACTGAGAAGTTTTTGGACAAAAGTGCTTGTTGGAAGAGGGGAGCCCTATTCCCTGAATGCTGAATGAGTGCTTGCCTGGGGTGTCCCCAGAAATAGGAGCTGACACAGGTGTTCGGCACAGTTGCTTACTGCTTCCCATCAAGAAGGATGGGAGGATCTTAGCACTACTGGTTTGTGGCACTCAGCATACTTGGCAAGCAGTCAGCTCTGGCTGTGGATTTCCCTGGGGAAAATAAAAGCCACAGGGAAGTCATCCGTGTGACCTTCTGCTGGGTAGTTGGCACACAGTTGCACCACAGGAAAGCTTTCAGTTGTCATTTTCTGAATGGGGAGAGATCAGGTGCTGATGGAGGATCCCCATCCAAGGTGGAAGGTGGAGAAGGAAACCAATATTGAACAGAAGCTTACTAAATAATTCCCAGTCACGAAGCTTAACACCAACTGATCTGCTGATAAAAGAGATTCTTGGGGGGAGGCCGTTGATGTGTTTTTGGGGGGTTTCTTTGGTTCCGTAGCATAATTACAAGCTTTCCTATTGAAGTCTGACCCATCATATTGAAATGCTGTCACTAGTATCATTAGCAAGTAAAGTGTTGATAACATAGTCAAATGCACAGCAGAGTTCTGGCTCTTAAGTGTCTGGACTAACTCCCAATATTAGGAATAGGAGTCAAACTGCCATCACTTTTCCTGTGCTAACAGACGCCCTGCCATTAGCAGTCTGAAGGCAATTTTAATAAAATACATAGCCCTGCTGAGTTGGTCTCAAAAGATAAATACGCAATGCAGAAAAGAAGCTTTTGTTTAAAAGTAATTATTTAAACTATGTATTACAGGTAATTTTCTTTTACCAGTAAGGCAAATGCTATCAGAATTTCAATAACGATTTTTTGGCTCTTATCTAAATAATGTGATATTGTCATTTCTAAGAGTTAAAGCAGTGCTTATTTTTACTTATATACAAAATGAGGGCCAATTGGACCCAGGTATCATGTGCATGTGTTTTACAGTTGATATTACATTTTTGCCTGAACAATGTTGTATTCTTGGACAGATTTATGGAAATGTAACAAGCTGGTGAGGGAGTTCTGGGAACTACAGACTTCACTTGCAAACACAGATTAGAACAGGAGGGCAAAGAACATCTTTTTATTTTCCCTTTACTGTCCGAAAGGAAATCAAATTTCAGTCTTTTAAAAGCTCTTTTAATAGGATGCTTGTACGTAAACCACAGTCACAAGGGTGTAACAAATGTGTGCATGTATCCGAGCAGCCAGAGCTTTGTTCACCAAAAGGTGAAAAGCTCAGAAAGCTTTCCTAAGAGTCTATTTGGAAACTATTTAAACCACCGCCTTTTCTTTCCTTCCTACTAGCATGAAATCCTTAAATTAATATAGAATTAGTTCTGTCCTTACCGTAGGCAGAGTGAGAACTTGCTTACCTAAGTGGGATGAGGAAGGTTCCTATTTCTCCCTGCTGCTCTTTGGAATGAGACAGACATCAGTTCAAACTCCACTCAACTCTCAACTCCATTTTTTCATGATCTATCACCTTAGACAAGTTACTTGCCATCTTCATCAAGCCTTTGCTTCCTCATCTATAAAATTAGTATAAGAATAAAATGAGCCTTGCATGATTGTTTTAAAGATGTAATGAGGTAATACTTGTAAAATATTTGGGGTGTTGTCTGGCACAGAAGCAGCACTCAGGAAATGTTAATTTATATTTGATTGAACAAAGTTTATTGAAATTATATTTGAATTAACAAAGTTTTATCAGGGAAAGCACAATGTTGAACATTGTGCTAGGAGTTGGGATAAATACATTGAATAATATATGGTGTCTACTTCAAAAGTATAAAGCCTAATGCAAGACAGGCATTTAAGCAGATAACTTAAGTACTATATGCCACTTGTTGTAATGTGAGTATAGATCTTGGGGACATAAAGGAGGCAGGGCTTAATCTTGGCCATGGGAAAAATTACTGCAAAATCTTCTTGATTTGTTAAGCTTTCAAAGAGAAGACGCTAAGCTGTATAGTTTCATCCTGAGCTGCTGTGATCAAAGCCAACTATTTTTTTTTTCCAAGAGTGATTTTTTCCCAGCTCCTTGTTTTTTCTGTTCTTCTTCCTTTACATTTATGTAAACCTTTTCCTTAATTGTTAGCACCATAGTTAGATGATTATCTATAGGCAGTGAGAGGAGGTAAACACGAATTAACCATTCAAATGCTGCTCAGCATCTTGCTAAAATGATTTCAGGGAGAATTAGAAACACAGGCTTTATTCTCATACATTGCAGATGGGAATGCAAACTGATACAAGCCTTTGGGAGAGAAATTGGTGATGTCTAAACAAATCTACATATACACTGAACCTTTTGACCCAGCAATGCCACTTCTAGCAGTTAATCCTGAAGACACAATATCAACAATATTAAAACTAGCCTGGGTTGGGGGTAGTGGCTCATGCCTGTAATCTTAACACTTTGGGAGGCTGAGGCGGGTGGATCACTTGAGGTCAGGAGTTTGAGACCAGCCTGGCTAACATGGTGAAACCCTGTCTCTACTAAAAATACAAAAATGAGTCTGACATGGTGGTGGCCAACCATAATCCCAGTTACTCGGGAAGCTGAGGCATAAGAATCGCTTGAACCTGAGAGGTGGAGGTTGCAGTGAGTCAGAATTGTGCCACTGCACTCCAGCCTGGGCGACAGAGTGGGACTCCGTCTCAAAAAATAATAATGATAATAAAAGAAAAAGAAAACTATATGCCCAAGATTATTCATCATGGCATTTTTTATAATTGTAACCTATTAAAAACTACCTAAATGTTCGTGCAGAGGAGGGTAGTTGAAGAAAACAGAATGAAGAACATCATCTGGAATGGAAATAAAATAAGAAAGTATATATGTATCTGCTAATTGGAATCAAGAATAGGAAGGACAAACCAGAAATTAATAAAACGGATTAAATACTCTGGTTGGGCCCGGGGAAGGGGATAGAAAGAATGGGAATAGGGAACAAGAGTGAAGAGGTGATAGGGAGTGATATTTATCTGAAGGGACATTTTTGGTATAGTTCTGATTTTTGGAACTGTGTTAATATTTCACATACTCAAAAAATAAATAATCAAAGTGAATTAGAGTATTCAGGGTACCCCACATGAAATATTAAAAAATAGCAAGAAAACTTAACTGTATTCTTAGGAATTACAGATGAAGGAAGTGGGTAAAAAAGAGTTAATCTAAGTGACTGCCAAACAACAATTGGAGTTAGGCTCTAAGATGTTTTAAAAATTAACAAAAAAGAACTATTGCACTCTTATCAGAGTATTTGTATTTCACAAGATATGGGTGAGTGATTCAATTTTCCACAGGGGTGAGATTTAGCATTTCCAAAACTGCTTCAAATATCTCCTAGGATTGTGGATGAGAGCTATTTTCTCTCTGTCAAAGAAAGGAAGAGGGCTAGAATGAAGCCTGGTTATTAGATTTTTATCTTAGATATCAATAAGAAAAATATGTATCACAGATATACAAATAATGAAATAGGAGTATGTGCGTGTGTTCATTTATATATTCCCAGCTCTATCTGCTGAGAGGGCCTAGAAGCATTAACACCCCAATAGTGATGAGCACATTTGGTACCTAGTTCTTGGTTTCTAAATACCATTCTCTAGCAAAAGAAACCAAGAATGCTTGTAGAAATGGATGATCCAGGGCCAGAACCAGAAACGTATGTCATAAGAGTCTGGAACATCTTGTGGTGCCAGAAAGTAGGGAAGGAGTAAACAATGTTGAAAACATTGAAATAATGCAGGATCCTCCCTGAAGTGGCTCCGTATTTCCAAATTCAGGACATTTGAGCAAGAAAATAATGAGAGTAATAGGATATTCTTAATATAGTCCGTAAGGTTGTAAGAAATTATTGAGCAAATAAATAAGTGAGGGAGAAAAGAAAGCTCTTTTTTAACAGGAAGAATGCCAATTAAGAGGAATGATGGAAATAGAAAGTCACCATTTGGTAAACACCACAGTCATAATAGTTTCAGGCAAGAATCATCCAAATGGATGCTAAATTTGTGGGTGAAAATATAATGATAAATAGGATATTTACAGAATGTCAACGTATCTCTTCTCAAAATACTTATTAATTATAAAAGGAAAGTAGTAACTTTACAGTGGAAAAACCTGGCAGACATCACTTTAAACAAATGATCAAAGTTAACATCCCCAGTAATGAGACATATCAACATCATGTGCCTCTCATATGATTCACTGAGAAGGGCACAAAAAGTAATTTCTGTCATGTTCTTGCCAAAAATGCATAACATGAATTTAATCATGAAGAAATACCAGACAATCCAAAAGGGACATACTACAAAATAACCTGGCAGGACCCTTAAAAATGTGTGAAGGTCATTAAAAACAAAGAAAGATTGAGGAACTGTCCCAGATGGAAAGAGATAAAGAAAACATCACAACTAAATATTGGCTCATGGTCCAAGAAAAAGACATTAGTGAGTCAATTGTTGGTATTTCAAAAAGGGCCATAGATCATCAAATAGTATTTAACAATGTTAATCTTTTGACTTTGATAATTGTATTATTGGTTCTATAAGATGTTAATTTGTGGGGAACTTGGGTAAAGAATATATGGGCACTCTGTACTATTTTTGCATTTTTTAAGCCTGAAATTATTTCAAAATGAAAAGTTAAATTGAAACATAAAAATCATGTGCCTTAAATAAAATGTATGTATGTATTATCCAATCTTTTTTATTATCCATTGTTACATAGAAGGATGACTTCAGTAGACTCAAGGAAGAAAGGAAAATTGTAATAGAGTGATAGGTATGTTACACTGTGAACTGCGTCGTATTTTGTTAACTTGCTCTGTCACCCACTGTGTAAACCCCGGGGGTACTTTCTATACTTTTATATTTTGCTAGTCTATTTGCCAATAAAATAGAAATAATGATCTAGCAAGACAGTTTCCAATTATTCACACCAATGGAGGAGAGCAGAGATGTCAAGTATGGAGCCCAAAAACAATAATTTTAAGAAGCACTCAAGTGAAGATCGAGATTTAATGCCAGGTAAGAGCCAAGTGTATTCTGGTAGATGTAAAACTCCAGATTATGAAAGTATTTTCATAGAGGGAAAGCAGAGCTAGTACATTAAGTTCCATGGATGTGTGTTAAGATATCAGTAATCAAACAAAAGCTAGAAAGGAAGTAAGGGGCACAGTATCGGTGCAGCCATCCAGTCAGTCTCCGAGGGCCCAGGTTAAGTTAAAAACAATGTCTGATGACTCACACCTCCCAAAGCTTGATGGTGCCAGTGAGATCGGGGTAGTACTCACTAATACTTTGTGACACCATTAAAGGACTAGGGTAATGGATCGATGGCAACTTAAGAGTTAGCAGAGTTCTGTGCAACACCAGCTTGTTTTCCCACACATTGATGTTAAAAAAATTTTGTGTTCAAAATAGTTACAAGATGTCAGCAGAGAGATTGACATCATTAACTATGTTTTATAGATGAGGAAACTGAAATTCAGAGTTTCCCAAATGAGACTGCTAGTAGAGAATGAACTTGCACTCTAGACCAGGGTATTCATTTGAGTTCATGAACCTTCTAGCATCAGGAAACTCCCTAAAAGTACACAAAATGTTTATGTATATTATTACGCAGGTACATTTTTTTCCTGAGAAAAGGATACAAATCAGTTGATTTTTATCAGATTTTCAAAGGTGACTGTGACCTAAAACATAACAAAATATAAAATTTTCTTTCCACACGAGTGCACAGCATGGAGTGGAAATACTTTTGCTGGACTTAGTCTTGTATAACTCTTATAGTACACATAAGAAACATCAGTATGAGAGTAAATGATTTAACAGAGAGATTCTGGACTTGCCCAGAATCACAGGAGTTAGTACCTAAAACCAGAACTCCAGCTGCTCACAATTTCAGGGAAGTAGTTTTCCTGTTGACCGTGTTATGAATTGTCTTCAGTGTGGATAGTTCTGTGATAGTCCCTCACTGATTAGGGAGGTGAAGGTCTGGTTCCCAGGTCTGGTACCAGTGGAGGACGTCAGATCCAAAGGAAACCTGAGCAGCAACTGAGTTCCAGTGTTCTGCTGAGACATCAGTTAGCATTGTGAGCATAAGGGCGATTTGAATAAAATTCTGTGGATTGCTTGAGAATTCTCTAGGTGGAATTAGGAAGTGTGGTAGAATCATCTTACCTGTGTGGAAGGAAAATGTCTTTGAAATATGGCAGAGGCCTTAGGGTGAGCATTCTGAATGTGTCGCCTCGTCTGTCACCTGCAATACCTGCCAGAGTTTTAGCTTTCTCAATTACTCTGGAGCATTAGAGAAGATCCCTCTGTCCAGAGACATTGTACTTCTTTGAAGAATACTTTGAATGATAGTAGAGTTTCTGTATGGCTTTGACATTTGCCAAAAAGGTTACAGTATTCACAGACACCCAAATATTGTCCCTATATATGAGTGTGGGTGTTGTCATGGCAGCATAGATCAAATTCAAAAAAAAAAAAAATTAACACTTTACTATTATAATCAGAGTTCGTTATTCATGTCTATACACACATAGTAAGTATATGTATATTTGACTTTCAAACCCAAGATATATAAAAGACTTAAGATGTCTTATAAAGATCTTACAAAATTTAAAATTGAATCTAATCACCAATGATTGAGAAAGCAATAAGGACTGTAAGAGCTGGCTAACGCTTATCTAAGTCACTGCTTTCGTGGACAAGGAACTGAAGCTCAGAGAGGTTACATTTTGCATCATTTTACACAGTTAATAAGTGACAGAGCCAGAAAAAGTACCCAGATTTCCTGATTCCTAGCCCAGTTTTCTTTTCACTATGGCATGGTGCCTTATGACACATATGAGATTAGAGCAAAATTGTATTTGTTGAAATGCGTGAGAAGTGTTGTGGGTCTTTTGATAATGTTTTGTGGAAGGAGTGGGGTCATTCCATCCTTGATTTTCCCCCCCACTTTTACACTTTAAATCTAATAAATGAATAGTATCCTTTATCTATTTCAAATTAGTAAGATTCTACTGATTTCTTTTTTCAACAATCTGCCTATAGTTTTGGAAATTACTTACTTCTTTCAGAATAAATGTATGCATACATTTGAGTTACTAGCTCTTGAGTTGCTAACCCACTAAGTGACTAATCTAAGAAATCACCTCTCTTGTTAGGTGCACTGGATTGCAAATGTCTTTTGATAATACTGCAGTGGTAGTGTAGGGATTTGCAACTGGCAGGCAGGAATTGAATTGCCATCATTTGGCTTTAGCAGGAGTTAGAGTCTTGTCTCCAGCATAAGCATGAGCCAAGGTACTGTCTCCTTTTTTCTAATTTTAGTTGGAACCATTGGCACTGATCTTACCTAGACAGACTAGTGTTATTTCTACCCAGCACAATCTGCTGGGATGGGCTCCATTCCAAGCCATTCAGTTGAACTTCTCCCCCTGATTTACCAAACAGAGATATGATTGGATGTTGAGGTTAGAAGCTTTCACCCTTTTCGTTAGAAGTCATCCGTTCAGACATAGAGATTCTAAGTTTAATTGGTTCAATGTATGACTCAGAAAGAATTGGCTGTTATGACTGAAAAATGCAGCAGGCTTTAATTGCGGGTCAGGAAGTAATTACTGCGACATTTTGGTGCTGGGACTTAGATATTGATACATTTAACTGTACAGGGGTGAGCAAAAAGGTGAGAAGTGATGTCTACACTCCAGCCCTCACCTGTCTTATTCTGGAACAGACGCGTTGTACAATTGTCCTGTCATGGTCTATAATCATGGGCATCTTTCCCTGCTGGCATCTCTCATGATCTCAGACACAGCGGCCGTGATTTGGCTCATGTCTGCATCCTTACCACAATCCTCAGTGAGGCCTCATCAGGCTGACAGTGCTGTCCCTCAACTAACTTTCACATCACTGGGATGAAAAGGGGGCATCCCAGCCTGTCGGACCTCAATCATTTGTGCAGCCATGTCTGTACTCTTTTCTCCCTGCTTTAGTTTGTCATGGGATGTCTGCAAGGCTGCCGTCTCACTGGAGTGCCACACGGGGAGCAGGCCATCAGTTCTCATTTTGCTCAGAGCCCAAATATAAAAGGGTTTTTATTATTTTTCTATCCCACCCAAACCTCTGTATACTCTAGATTTGCCCTGCAGGAATTAAAAGTGTAGTGACCTCATACTAGCATGTAAGGTCACTTTTTCCTGGTGAATCTTTCTTCTCCCTAAATCAAAAGTGCCAAAAACATTGACAGTCTTTTGCTATTACACATAAACAGTAATTTCCCGTATGTAAAAAGCACAGGAGTTTTGTTTTGTTTTATTCTTTTTCCTGTGGTTGCTTGTGACCCAAATGAGAAAGACTGTCCGTGGAACGAAGAGGGTTAGTGGATCCGGTTATTAGTTCATATATCATCATGCAGAGGTCTCAGTGACAAGTAGACGTGACATATACCCTGCCCTCCTGGGCTTACAGCGAATTCACATGGAATTTATTGCTTTTTGTAATTCTCCAAAACTATAGGTAGAATCTTACCCACAAACAGCTCAATAGAGAGATCCAGATAAACAACTAGAAAAAAAGTGTTTAAGTTGTATGAAAAAGAGGACTTTGAAGTGTGTATCACTTCCCAAATATCTGGTTGAACAATAGCACATCCTTATCCAAGTGGAAAAAAATGCTATAAATGTAAACCCTTCCCCCCCCTCCCCACCCCTCCTTCTCCCTCTCCTTTCTTTTTACAGTTGTTTCTGTTCTCATTTTGGATAGCGATTTTGGTAAAAGGTCTGTGTTCCCTGCATACCGCATGCATTGCTAACTTTTGCCTAGTTTTGAACGATGGATGAGCTGCTCTCTTACAGTGTGAGTAGCCCAATAAGATGAATACTAATAAATAATGATGAAACACTTTGATCTTGTTTTCTGTGTGTTAGATGGAGTTTGTTAATTATCAGAGTTCTCAGTGCAGCCCTTTGAGATGGGTATCACTATTATCCTCATTTTACAGATGAGCAAGTTCATGCAGAGAAAGAGAGAGTGTGTGTCTGAGAGCACAGGATGATAAGTGGGCAGACCAGGATTTTATTTGACACCAAACTGTGAGTCCCTAACACTTAGGGATTATATTCAGCTTCAAGTAACAGAAACCCGAGTGACAGTGGATACGCGGATGCAGTCCAAGCCAGCTGTCTCCTTTTGCTATCAGGGACCCAGACTTCTGACTCTCTGTTCCTCCGCACTGGGGGCACCTCTTCATGCTAATGCTTACAAGAGGGCTGGTAGGGCTGCAGCAGGCCATTGTTAGCTCTTGTCTAGGAAGGAAGTTGGAGAAGCACAAAGCACAGAGCAGCAAGACCAAGGCAGTCAGGGCTGTCCCCTTCTAAAAGGTTTTCACTGAATCCCGCCCCCACTTCCATTTACATCTCATTGTTGTAAGCAGGGTGCAGTTTATCAAGCAGGAGCCAGGGAAGGGATATTGGGTAGCCAGTTAGTATCCTCTGCCACAGCTCCTAATCCCCTGTATGACTGCCTTTTCCAGTCTTAGTATAAAATAGGGATAGAGAATATTGTTTTTTTATTTTAAAGTCAACCATAAATTGTCCTTTGTCTAGGGTTTCCTTCACAGTTATGCTTATTAGAATACACCCATATAGGCCCACACATCATATGCCTCTTGACTGGATGAGTACTCATCTTCTGATGGAATATTTTACGTGGAGTCTTCAGCAAATATTTGGCACAGACCTGCTTTTAAGGGGCTATTAAATTGATCTGGAGATGATAACTTAAGGCATCACCCAAGGTTAGAGAAATTGTCAACCGATTCAAGCTTCTTTCCACCTTCCAAAATGCTAATCGACAAATGGTTAGTTATGAGGATAGAAATGTTTTCCTATAGGCTAGGCCATTCTGAGTTGTACATTTTTCCTCTTCAAGCCTGATGAAACAAAAAATGTCCATCAGAATGTTATCTGCAGGAAGAAGTATGTTTTTAACTTCAGGAGGCTAAAATTCCATTAACTTATTTATTCTTTTGTATCCTAATGTTTATTTTTTGTTTTTTGTTTTTAAGACAGGGTTTAGCTCTGTTACCCAGGCTGGAGTGCAGTGGTGTGATCTCGACTCACTGCAACCTCCACCTCCCCGGCTCAAGCAATCCTCCTACCTCAGCCTCCTGAGTAGTTGGGACTATAGGCTTACGCCACCATGCCTGGCTCATTTTTGTATTTTTGTAGAGATGGAGTTTTGCAATATTGCCCAGACTGGTCTCGAACTCCTAGGCTCAAGTGAACAGCCCTCTTCGGCCTCCCAATGTGTTGGGATTATAGGCGTGAGCCACCGTGCCTGGCTCTAATGTTTGAATATAAACAAGAGAAGTGCCTTTAAGCAGTGAGATGGATTGGTTGAAGACTGTGGTAAAATATAAAGCATGTGGCTTCTTCATCTGATTGACCCCGCCTTAAAAAAGTTACCTTTATCTCTTGTGCTACTCCAGTTTCTCTATTTAGAAAATGCTGTCGTATATACAGGACCGGTCCATAGAGTTTATTTCAGTAAAATACATTACAATAGTATGGTAATTCATGGGAATTCTAACTCAGCACTAACTCAATACTGTTTTCTTTTTGTGCATTGTTACTGTTTTATCATGTCATTGTGAGTGTCATTTATATATGTTTTTTTTTTTATTACAAACTGATCTTCAGCTACTTCAGAACCATGTGCTTCACAGCAGATAGCACAAAGCTGGGCACAAACCAAATAAATACTTATTCACAGTTAATGGGCTAGGCGTGGTGACTCACGCCTAAAATCCCGGCACTTTGGGAGGCTGATGCAGGCAGATCACATGAGACCAGAAACTCAAGACCAGCTTGACCAACATGACAAAACCCCATTTCTACTGAAAAATACAAAAATTAGCTAGGCGTGGTGGCGCAGGTATGTGATTCCAGCTACTTCAGTGTCTGAGGCGGGAGAATCGCTTGAACCTGGGAGGTGGAGGTTGCAGTGAGCCAAGATAACACCACTGCACTCCAGCCTGGGCAACAGAATGAGACCCTGTTTCAGAACACACACACACAAACACGCACACCTTCACACACATGCACACAGGCACAGAGTTTCTGTATGGAGACTATATAAGCAATTAGGATGTTTCTTAAGAGTATT